GAATGGCGATGCTTCTATATGCGGAATATATGATGAAAAGATGCAAAGATGCGATATGGTGGTACTTGGAGTGTTGGCTAGAAAGACGAACGGATACACAGACAGACGCATGACGGACGCACGGATGGCTGCACGGACGGATGGACACATGAATGGACGCAGGGGTGGACGCATGGACAAACGCAGGGATGTACGCACGACTGGGCATGCGAATGCACGAACAGACGCACGCACGGACGGGTGAATGGAGGCACGGACGGTCACAAAGACGGACGCATGGACATACGGAAGCAAGAACGAATAGACGTATGGATGATTACAGTGAACTAGTATATACCGTGAACTCGAGGCGGCTAAAGGTGGGAAATAGACACGAAGCGCAAGCCATAAGTGGGCGTGTGCCACCTCTCATTTTTTCCTTGGAATGTCCGCTGGATGGCGGTGCTTCTATATGCGGAATATATGATGAAAAGATACGAGATGCTGGTACTTGGAGTGTTGACTAGATGGACGAACCGACACACAGACAGATGCATGGACGGACAGACGGATGGCTGCACGGATGAATGGACGCGTGGACGGACGCATGGGTGAATGCATGGACGAACGCAGGAATGGACGCATGGACGGGCAGATGGACGCACAGATGGTCACACAAAATGACGCATGGACGAACGGAAGCAAGAACGAATAGATGGACGGATGCTTCGCCCCATTCTTCATCATTCACACCGTGGATATACTGCCATTTTTTTTACCTAAAGTCTACTTTCAGCTAAGAGCAAGATAGTAAAGCTGATCATAATACATAAAAATACACTCAAAGCAATTACCGATGTTCCTTACAGAACACACTCTGAACATTGTATCATGCACTTGCAGCACATTGTATCATGTACTTAGCTAACATATGCGAGCGTCTCTTTTCACAGCTCTACAAATCACAGATCGTACATGGCATTTTGTCTTCATGTGAAGTCACTAACCCCCCACTATTTCCTTTATTACCCTACAAGGCACCTCGAATATTGCAAGGAACCTCCTCCACGAACTAATTACAGCTTTTAAACCGTAAGACATACATTGCCTTCTTTGTTTACCAAGTTCGGTTTTCATCACACCTAGATATGCTATTTTTTATTTTCTTCAAAACCTCTTTAATTATTGTTCGCATTGCCCGTCATTTCAAATCCTTTTTGTGATCACAACTTCCTTTAACTGTATCCAGAAAGGAAATTTACTTGTAATAGTGTTCAATTTATTGTGCACCGTGTTTTGATTGTTTGTTTTCTCTACTTCGTGATTTTTTTGTGATAACTCTATTTCTGCACCGTGTGATACCGCTCTACCTACGTGTGAGGGGGAAGAGGCTTTCGTCAAGCCGCAACTGAGTGGCTTTTTTCTCTTCTCTGCTGCTATGTTTTTTTATACATGCCTGAACTAAATATTCAGTAAAATAAATTCAATTACTCCATGGTTACGCATTCATTATTCGTCAATCTGTGGCTGCACATAAGCACCTCCAGTTCCCAACTCGTGCAAGCAGACGCCGGGGAGATGGCGAGGAGGTGACGCAAGGCGGATGAATACATATGTAGAGGCGAATTAGCATTCCTATTGGCTAAGGGGCCTTGCAGCCTTGACAGGGCTGAAAAGATCTCCTGATATCAAGTATAGCTGGCACCTCGTAGAGTTTCGAAAGCTCAGTTTTGGCAGGTATTATAAATACCAGTCTCAAGCTGTAACTGAAAGCAAAGTTTGATGTTAAATAGTGCTTGTATAGGCACCGGCTTTCAAAATAGCTATTTATGGGCACGTATAGGAATTGAGGCACAAACGTGAAAATAGGCCTTGGATGGCGCTATACAAACACTATGAAAGCCCTCCTTAAAAGGACCTACTAGCGATTTTTTTTCACCCAGTTTTTTTCGGCGCGAATGAAATCCGATCCCTCGTAGTGTTCGTAGCTGCAGAAGTTAATCCAAAAAGCATGTAGTTATATATAAGCAGCATTTTTAAATCTGGATGCCTCTGAACACGCACGTGCCCTTTCTCCAGCAACACTGATAATTGGTAGCGATGCCGGTAGCCCCTCTAGCAACTTGTGCACGCTGTGGTTGTTCTGATTTAGCAGTAGTTTCTGTATCTATGCTTAATCACGTTTATTCTGAGCTTTACAGCTATTTTAGGAAAAAATTTAGCAGATACCAGGCACTTGCGAATCGACTTTATGCGAAGCATGCGGAAGGTGACCGTGTTGCATTTTTTTTTGAGCGACACCTCATTAAACGGCGCTAAATATATGTACAAATGTTGCATGCCGAGACATATGTTGAAGAGTTGCCGATGTTTATATAACCAGTTTTCCACTTGGACACAAGGTCCACTGGAAATGTGTTTTAGCAACACCAGAAGCCGATATAAAGCGCTGATGCTCGCGATTATGCTGGCCCTTGCCACTGCTACTTAAATCAATATCAGCACTTGGCCCCTCACCACAATTTACGTTAACCCGACTTGACGGCTGTATGAAATGAGTACACATGTAACGTTTATAAAATTGGGTAGCCAGCACTGCAACCACTATTCATGTTTCGTGAAGATTAGCGTCTATTTGAAAAGTAGTTCCGAGACTTCACGTAGCTCTGTGGTAGAATGCTTGACTGCCACGCAAATTACCTGGATTTGATTCCTGCTGGGACTCTGAAATGTATTATTTGAATTCGTTGAGTGGCCAACGCTGCCTATATGTCAGGTTTTTAACACTGACATTTATTCTATGCGTTTGTTGGGTCGACGCTACCGATGTCGGGCATTGCTCATGCGTTAAAATTTTCTTTGTGTGTTCTCGTCGTTCCTGGGTAGATACTAAGTGTCAATCACCTGTGGCACATACCCGAGGCACATACCCATCCGTGAGTATGTGCCACTGTCTGATGGGAAGTGTTTGACGATGTACGCGACGGGAATGTGACATTATTCATGTCTTGATCAGCGCGTCATATTTGTCAAATGATCTTATCCTCCCATGCTAACTTTGGTTCACGCCAAGTTTAGGGGTGACCACGAGAGCACCCAAACGTAAGCGGCTAGATAGATAGATAGATAGATAGATAGATAGATAGATAGATAGATAGATAGATAGATAGATGTGCTGAAAGTCGACGAAGTTTGCTAAGAAATGCTTCACATTTAATAAGAAGCCGTTGAATTAAGACGATGATTGATTGATTGATTGATATGTGGGGTTTAACGTTCCAAAACCACTATATGATTATGAGAGACGCCGTAGTGGAGGGCTCCGGAAATTTAGACCACCTGGGGTTCTTTAACGTGCACCCAAATCTGAGTACACGGGCCTACAACATTTCCTCCTCCATCGGAAATGCAGCCGCCGCAGCCGGGATTCGAACCCGCGCCCTGCGGGTCAGCAGCCGAGTATAAATTAAGACGATGTGACTTTATAAAGCTTCTCTGTATTTTTACCATGTATCATGCACCTGCGCTCAAGGCTTGGATGGACGGCTTGTCTGATAGCCGTTGCTGTCTCGACACGCAAACCAAGCCAAGTCACCAAAAGTGTCACTGTGCACATGCACGGCCTTGCCGACTAGGAGTACACGTAACTTCTCAGACAAATTGTAAATAGAAAAACTATACGTCGCTCCTGTATCATAACGACCCGAAATCTGCATGCATGGTTTCATAAGCACCCAGGAAAGTTGATCAAGACACGTTCACGAGCATGGGAATATTACCTCATGCGAAAGCAGCGCCACTTTTTAGCGTATACTAACGCAGGTTTATATGCACTGTTTGATTGAGTAATATTTTTTTACTATAAAGAATCGAACAATATTTCAACACTAGCAGGAACATTGTTGACGGCGGGCACTAGTTTGCGATCACATGACAGGGTAGCACGGATAACTGAAGTTTCTGCCACAGGTGGCACCACAGGCTACTTTCTCGACCTTCGTTGAAGAAATAAAGGTATATCTTCACGTGAGAAAAATATCGTTGGTTTAAGTCACTATAAGAAACGATCTCTCCTTCCATGCAGTCGTCTCATTTTATGTTTTGGGCAGTATTAGGTACCTCTAACCTATCATTCATGCTCATATAATAAAGTTGTACAATAGGATGGCAATGAAACAAACTGGGCATTTGCTTATAAACCGGTAACTATAGTGATGACTTGACGGTGCGAACTATATCCTTGCTAATGCTTAGCACTCATCCCATTTTGTTTGACGACGATGGTGCGGTGGAATCGCGTTGCTACGCTCTTAGGGGAAGGGCGTCCAGAAATTGGTCTCACAAATGAAATCACGCTTGAATAATCATAAAAGTAGGGTCTCTCGGTGACATAGAAACTCTTGGTGGGGTGTCGTGTGACACTTATCTTTCAAATAATGCTGCATTACACAAGCCGTGCTGAAGTGGCCTTGCGTGCGCAATTCTCACAGCTTTAGGCGTGTCCAGCGCGCTCTTCTCAGCTCTTTTCTGTCATTCTAGTTCTGCAAGCAGTATATTCCACATTCCATAACAGAAATAGCCGTAACAACGTCAACTTGTGCGAGCCGTGTTGCAGAAGTAAACAACATTGCATTCACCGCACTACTCATGATTGATTAACATGTGGGGTTTAACGCCCCGAAACTACCATAGGGTTATGAGAGCCGCCGTAGTGAAGAAGTCCGGAAATTCGTACCAACTGGGGTTCTTTCACGTGCGCCGAAATCTGAGCACACGGACGTACAGCAATTACAACTCGGTCAAAAATTCAGCTACCACAGCTGAGATTTGATGCTACGACCTGTGGGTAAGCAGTCCCTAGACCACCGTGGCGAAGCCACCAAACTTCTCAGACAACCATCACGCACAACTGTGCCAACGGGATTGCGTTGGGTGTTTGTGGTTCAGTTTATTATGCGCATGTCATAGACGTCTCACTAATGCATTCCAATGACCACAGTGAATTCTTCAATTTTTTGCAGCATCCCAGACCCGTACATACAGTGACCGTGCATCACGTGCGGAGCCGACGAGCTGCAACGTCTGTTTTTTCTCAACAGAAACCCACCACGCCAATCGGAAAGTGAGTGGAATAGCCCATTTGTCAGCGAGAGGCATAGAGCCACGTCCGCATTTGTGCGTAGCGCGCTAAAAAATGGCCTTGTTGTGTGGCGCGACACTTTGCGTCAATCCTGGGCTCTGACGTGATGAGCCCAGGGGCATTCGTGGCCTAATATATTTGCACAAGTGGCAACTTTGTGAGGTGCGCTTCTTTAACAAAAGAAACACGCTTCTCTGGCCGCCTTCGATATCTCAATTACAAAACACAACGCGTTTCATCTGAAAACGTGTGCCAGGCAACAGTTATCAATCGATGTAATAATAATATCAGAAAAATTGCGTGTTATTACTCGGCGTTATCATGTTGTCTCACTTGGTGCGTGGTATCAGTCGATTATTATTACCTCTACTGATAACACGTGCCTAAGCACGTGTTATGAGCACGAAAGAAGTAATTCTTTTCTGCAAGGTTATCAATCGAAACGCATCATCTTTTGGACCCAAGATTTCTAAAGCGCCCTGAGAGAGCGTGCTTATTTGGTGAAACAAGCGCACCTCCAACACTGTCATTCGTGTAGAAATATTGGGCTGCGTTCATCACTTGAAAGCCCTCAACCGCTGCAAGGTGTCTTGCCGGAGAAAAGGTCCGCTTCTTTGCGCGCAACGCTCATAGGTGGAAGTGACTTTATATTGGCCTATGCTCCAACTACTACCGCTAGAATTTCATTCATCATTCCTCGTATCATGATTTTGCGTCACTAAACCAGATTGCCAAAAACATTGCTGTGAGGACATCGATTTTTTAAGAATTTAGGAGACATTGATGATGCTAAAGCTCCAGCAACACTGGGCACGTCTGCCATTTTTGTTGGGCCCCGGTACGGTATCGTCTGATCCCGTTTCCGTTAAAGGGGCCCTGCAACGCTTTTTGAGCATGGTCAGAAAGCACTGCCGATCGGTAGTAGAGGCTGTCAACAACAAGCGAGCTAAACGTTATAGCGCAGCACACGGCCTGGAATTCAAGATAAGTTACCAAAGTCAGCTAAAAATTGCTTTCTTTTTTCTCGACAAATCCCAGAATAAGCCCATCTATCAGCCATTGGCTGATTTGAATAAGGGAGCGCTCGGTCCTTGCAGAGCTCGCCGTGAAAGGCCGTCACTTGTTCACGCGTGCGCGCGCGATCACACTGAGAAAGCCACGTTTTCGAAGAAAAAAATTAAAAATTGCTCAAGGTCAGGAAGCGCGCGGGAGAATTTTTTGTTTGTCCCTCCCATTCCTCCCTGCTTAGCTTCCAGCTGTTTCGTCGTGACTAGAGAAGAGGGAATGCGATTGCAGCGTATGACAAATCTTTGTAACTCCACTAATACTCAACGGTTTCTTAAATTTTTTGCGGTGTTGAACTTGTGAGGCAACAGGCTCTTCGAGGGATTTAATTCCATGTTTTTTCAAAAAGTGTTTCAGGGCCCCTTTAAGTAGAGACATTGGAGGCGCTTCGTCGCAGTTACTGGCGTAGCTCTCGGACCGAAAAATTACTGACCATTCTTTCTTCATCCAGCACCAAATGGTTTGCTGAACTGGAGGTGGTACCAAAAATTGACAAAAACGCAATATCGAAGTATGAAAACTCATCCAGACAGCTGCTGCTAGATGCGCACTACTTTGCAAAGCCGAGCTGCTGTGGTGGAGTGGCGTGTACTCTCTTACTGAGTTCAAGGAAAAAGTTAATTGCAGTGTGCAGAGATGCGACAAGAAAACTTCAAAAGTAAGCTTGAACTGCAAGAAATCTTCATTGTAACTCCCGTTGCCATTTCATGCCTGTGTCATAAACACTCGTCAGATGTCGACCCCACGTTGTCGACACTACGAGACACCGCGTGAGAAGTCGACACAAACGCTGTGCTGCTTTCCTTGGCTTATTTCTTAAACCGAGAAAAGCCCACTTTTTAATGGCATGCGTCGTGGTTTTCTCCAGGTAAAAAAAAAAAAAAGCTTGGAGCCACATATCCACGCCTCCAAAGAAAGTTACATATCCGCAAACCGAATAAAAATACTGATTTAGCGCTTTACTCTACAGCATACGAAGAGTAATACTCTTTTATTGTGTAGAAGTACTTTATGATGTTTTGTGGTCGTAATCTATCACGCGAATTTAGTATTATTCTTCTATTTTTGCTGAAAGCTATAACAGTGTGTGTTCTTTGACATGATCGGAGATGGGAGAAAACTGACCGGGTCCACTTGATACGGAATGACGCACATAAAAGGTCTTGTATATAAAACATACAATTCCTTCGACGCCAGAGAACGAGATACCGGATTTTTCTTGTCCGCTGTCTTGCTGCCAATCAATTTGCTGTGTAGGACACACATATACACATATATTCTTTGCAGCGTTGCAGCTTCTAATTCGTGCTTCATGTTTCTCGAAGAACAGGTTTGCTGTTCCTTTCAAATAGATTAGACTGTTCATCAAGATAAACTTGCGCACCGGCGATTTATAAATGTACGGAATATATACGTCGGTAACCAGTCCTAAATGTCCACACGTCAGTCCCGCAGAACATGTCCCGTTCTTTCTGCAACAGAAAAACAATTGCTGTCATTGCGGTGTCCAGCTCAAGCGCAGTATTTTCATCTGCCATCCTAAAAAAAATTGGCCCTGAATGTAAATCTTAAACCGCAAATGTCGTCGAAAGACGGTAGTCTTGCGCCTGGAGAGAGTGAACAAAACGTTTATTTGATGTTCTGTGCAAGAAAACTGGTAAATGGCATTTCGGAGGCGCTGTGCTATAGTGCCTCGAGCGTGTAGCAGAGGCGAACAAGCGCATCAAAGCACGTTAGACGCAAGCGCCATCTGGCAGTTCGTAAACGAAGGAAGGCGTGCGCACCCGCGTAGGAAGACGCGCGCTTGTCTCGGAGGTGATAAGGTGTAGAACGCCAAGCGACGGGCAGGCGCCACCCCCTCTGTCGTCTAAGCAAAGCGTTGGAAGCCTTACCTTTTTAAGCATCGCGTTGCCCTGTCAGCGCAGTGTGATAAACGATTCAGTCCTTAGAATTACTTGTGTATGCCTTCTCTAGTATAAAGGCACACATACACAACATCTACGAGTTGTTATGGTGCCTCAGATATGCGCAATAATTGCTTTTTAATTGACAATTGCATTAGCATGAACGCTGAATCTCGAGCAATATTGGCGCCCGCTGCGGATGGGAGTGCCCGTTAGGTGCCGTTTGAGGTATCGTTAAGGGCGTACAGACAGACAGACAGACAGACAGACAGACAGACAGACAGACAGACAGACAGACAGACAGACAGACAGACAGACAGACAGACAGACAGACAGACAGACAGACAGACAGATAAAAAAAAGCAGCGTTGCCCCTGCCGAGCTCTTTATACCGCACCACCACCAAAATGTCAAAGGGTGTTGAGACTATCCAAAAGTACAGAGTGTACCCCCAAAGAGTCTTTCCGCCAACATGCCACAACAACGACGTGAGCGCTATTCCAAATGCATCGATGAAGCATTACACCGCGTTCATGATGACTTATAACGCCCACAGAGAAAAATAGCCTAAAAATATTTTCTGAAGCTCGTGGCTGAGGAATGCGGGTCACAACGAGTAGACGCAGCGCTTTTTCAATGAATGTCTCACAGCTTTTCTTAAGACGATAGTCTTTCTTGGAGACCTTCGTCGCAAAAATTTTGGTATGTCTGTCTGTTCCTTTGTCTGTTTGTCCACTCTTTACGGTACACCAAACAGCAATAAAGTAACCAGACGATACTCCAAACGGCTGACCCCATCCGCACCGGCCACCAATATTGCTGAAGGTTCAGCATTCATATTTCTGCGATTGTCAATTAAAAGGCAATTATTGCGCATATCTGAGGCACCATAACAACAAGTCAATATTATGTATGTCTATGTTTAACTAGAAAATACATACATAGGTAATTTTAATGACCATAGCGTTTATCACGTGCGCTGACCAGGCAACGCTTGTACGAAAAGGCCGGTGTTTTCAGCGCTTTGATAAGACGAAACGGTGGTCGCACCTACCCGTTCTCTTGCGTTCTACACATTATCACCCTAGAGACGGGCGCACACGCGACGCGCTCCGTTTTCCAGGATAACTGCCAGATAGTGCTCATGTCTCACGTGTGACGTGACTCTATGCGCTCGTTTACCTCCGCTGCACGCTCGAGGCACTCTAACGCAGCGCCTCCAGAATACCATTCACTGATTTTCTCGCGCGGAACATCAAATAAACATTTTGATCACTTTCTCCAGACGCAGGACTATCGTCTTTCGACGACATTTGCAGTGTAACACGCAGATACCGGGCAATTTTTAAAACAGGGGCAGGATCTGGTTATTTTTTTCCAATTCGGAACAACATTCTAAAATCCCCGTCATAATAAGGATTGGCGTCGTTATTAAAACGAATCCCGTAAAAGCCGAATTCACGTAGGTGTACTTTTGCTGCTCAAACCAGGCGATCGCACGAACTTGAATAGCTCGATAAATATGTATGGGCGTGGTTGCAGAGCACATACCAGGGGGCAGACGAACTTCCCAACATTTTGTAAATGTAGGGCACAAAAAGTGCAGATTCGGTTTTTGCTGCAGCGCAGTCTTGATCTTTTGTCCTCCGCAGCATGCTGGTGCAGGGTACCAACAGTATTAACAGGCTCCTGCAGCGGCTTCGATTGGCCGGCTACGCACCCAATGGCTGGCCCACACATGGTCCCTCCAAACTCAGGCCAGTCACCCAGATGGCGCTCGACAGCATCGTGCGCTTGCAGCCTGCGCGGGTACTACGAGCAGCACTGGCTGTATCAGCAGCTTACCGGTAAGCGCTGAGGCAGGTATTGACTTACACTGGCGCTAATCGAAGCCGCTGTAAATTCAATGACCCCACAAAGGAATGCCAGAGCTGCTACGAAGTGCAGTTTTTATCAGTGCATGTGGTATCATTTTGGGGTTACGACGAAACCATACAGATGTGTCTGTTGAACTGCTTCCCGATGGAAGGTTCAGCCGAATACAAATACACAAACTTTACATGGCAGTCAAGTATTGAACCACAGAGCCTTGCCAGTGTTTGAATCTGCTTCATAAAAATGGACATTCAGGCACCGCAATACCTGAGTCGTAATGTCGGGAAAGAGGGTACGTAACACATGAAGCAACAAATTGGAAGAGCGCGAAACAAGGAGCCAAGGAAAAAGGCGACACGAAGAGCGCTACTCTTCTCACCGGTCCTCGTTTTTCCACTTGAAATGTGTTCCTTCATGTCTTACAAACTCACCCAAGCTTCCGTGCTTCTAAGGGACGTAACAAGTTGCATTCAGTGGCAGAAGCTACGCAGCTGCGCGCGTTGAGTCACGGACATGTTGTGCGCAATACTCGCCGGCTCACGTCCGCAAGCAGACGCTGTTTGAAGACAACTCCAGAAAAAAGTTTACATAACGGAGTTGAGCAAGTTCGCTCATACAGGGTGTGTTCCAATACTCACCGTAGACGGCTCAATAGACAACTAAATGGACGGCGTCCATCTTAAGTCCCATTCCAATTTTCACTTAGCCGGCAAGTACACAAATCCGAGAAGACCACATCGTAGACAATTACAATTCAGGCAGCTTCGCTGTCTTAACAAGATGGCGGGTCAGCGAATCGCTCAGATAGATCAAATCTCGCGGAAATGGTCGTCTGCACACAAACAGATGCTTTCCCAGACGCTCAATGTGAGTGACGTTTATTTGTTTTTTGATTTAAACACGAAATACGCCAGAAAATACAAGTGTTACGTTTGCTTATTTTAGCTTTTTCTTCTCGACGCGATGCAGCACATTGCCGCGTAAAAGCCGTCCAGAAGTCTTCCGATTCTCGGACAGCATGGGCTCGGTGCTGTCTTCTTAGCAGTCTGCGTAGACTGTCTACGTGCTGTCTAGGAATTGGAAACAGCCACAGTTGTGCTTGCTTCGTCTTGCTGTAGCATGACATATAAAGCCACTTGGTCTTCGTACTGACAACCTTTCTGCGTCCTCGCCATTCTCCTCCGCATTTTCTGCACTACGATTGCTCTTCAAGGCAGTTGCCCATGGGAACACACCGGTCTTGAGTTATGGGCTTGTTTCATTTTTTTTGGTGCGAAGCTTCTTAGGGTCGAGCACAACTTGGTGTGTGGCGTGACCACCCTTAATGAGCATTCCCGTCTCCTCTTTCTCTTCTTCTACTCGTACCCCTCTCTCGCATCGCAACGCCCACGCAAGCAGCATCTGCTAGACAACGCTTCCTCTCCCCTCTCTCTCCTATATATATCCCTCCACAATTGCACGCCCAATGCGCATGCGTGCTCCCTCACCTTTCTTTCTTACGCCCCCCTCTCTCACCTTGGAACGTCATTGCAGGCTAAAAAGATGTTGCACAAGCACCACTCACTAGCCAGTGCTCGTTCCTCTCTCTCTTCTCTAGGCATCCCTCCCCACGGCGTTTACACCCCTATGCACATGTGCGCCCTCTATCTCTCCTCTCCAGCGCTCCCCCATCGCTTGCTATACAACGCCGACACAGGCATCGTCTGCTAGCAAGTTTCTTGATTAAAAAAAAAAAACCAAACGTTTTCTGGCGCTGCACAGCCCTTCACTGGCTACCCCATGTATATGGGCACTTGATCTTGAGCGCCATTGTAGTGGCGGTAGAAGGTTTATCCTGTGCTTTGTGGTAATGTAAAAATTTGCAGCGTGCGCTTTAACTAAAAGTGGACTGTGTATCCAATAAGGTTCTTCTGATTCTCCTTGCCATATAGCAGCGATTGGCATTTATGAGTAAGAAACACCGGTACATCACTGCGTGCTTCACGCTTCCCCAGGATTCTTTTTGCGTGATACCGCGATGAGCGCCATTTTTGCGAACGCCGTCACGTACAAGCGCCCACTGCTTCGAATCTACACATGGTTGCCATTAGCGGGAAACAGCTTAATTCATCTCGTGCGCCATTTTTCACCGCAGCTTCGCGTAGCGAACGTAGTGCACACATGGTGTGTGCAGGTGCAATGGCAGGAGCATGGCGTAAGATATATCATCATCAACACCATCATCAGCCTGACTACGTCCACTGCAGGACAAAGGCCTCTCCCATGTTCCGCCAGTTAACCCGGTCCTGTGCTTGCTGCTGCCAATTTATACCCGCAAGCTTCTTAATCTCATCTGCCCACCTAACCTTCTGTCTCCCCCTAACCCGCTTGCCTTCTATGGGAATCCAGTTAGTTACCCTTAACGACCAGCGGTATCCTGTCTACGCGCTACATGCCCGGCCCATGTCCATTACTTCTTCTTGATTTCAGCTATAATATCCTTAACCCCCGTTTGTTCACTAATCCAGTCTGCTCTCTTCTTGTCTCTTAAGGTTACACCTACCATTTTTTTCCATTGCCTGCATCGTCCTCAATTTAAGCTGAACCCTTTTTGTAAGTCTCCAGGTTTCTGTTCCATAGCTAAGTACCGGCAAGATGCAGCTGTTATATACCTTCCTCTTGAGGGTTAGTGGCAATGTACCTGTCATAATTTGAGAGTGCTTGCCAAATGTGCTCCACCCCATTCTTATTCTTCTAGTTACTTCAATCTCGCGGTTTGGCTCCAAGGTTATTACCTGCCCTAAGTAGACATAGTCTTTTACAACTTGAAGTGCACTATCACCTATCTCGAAGCGTTGCTCCTTTCCGAGGTTGTTGTATATTACTTTCGTTTTCTGCAGATTCATTTTAAGACCCACCTTTCAGCTCTCCTTGACTAACTCCGTAATCATGAGTTGCAATTCGTCCCCTGAGTTACTCAGCAATGCAATGTCATCGGCGAAGCGCAGGTTACTAAGGTACTGTCCATTAACTCTTATCCCTAACTGTTCCCATTCTAGGCTTCTGAAAACCTCCTGTAAGCACGCGGTAAATAGCATTGGGGAGATTGTGTCCCCCTGCCTTACACCCTTCTTGATTGGTATTCTGTTGCTTTCTTTAAGAAGCACTATGGTAGCAGTTGATCCCCTGTAGATTTCTTCCAGGATGTTTATATATACTTCATCGACGCCGTGATTCGGCAGTGTCTGCATGACGGCTGATATTTCTACTGAATAAAACGCCTTCTCGTAATCTATGAAGGCATTGTATAGTGGTTGGCTATATTCTGAGCATTTCTCTATTACCTGATTGATAGTATGAATGTGGTCGATTGTTGAATAGCCTGTTCGAAATCCTGCTTGTTCCTTTGGTTGATTGAATAATAATGTTTTCTTTACTCTGTCAGCAATTATCTTTGTAAGATATATATATATATATATATATATATTTATATTTATATATATATTTATCTTTATATATATATTATAAAGGAGATTTATTAAGCAGAAAGGTTGATGCTTGGAAGGCTTGGAAGGCGATGCACCAGCCGCAATTTCCGAGCTCGAGCCGCTGCTGCACACTCGATGCTGCTGCCTCTGTGCCGGAGTACTTCCTCTTCTTTACAATGGCCCCACGGAGAAAAAAGGAGCCATCCTGGCGACTTAGTCCTGGGCAGGCGGCGTTGAACCGTGGTATTGCTTGAGCCTCTGGACGTGTACAACCTCGCGGTTGCGACGTCGCAAGTCTGATGGTGGCGTAAGAGGCTCAAGAGAGAGAATAAACTTTATTATAAGAGGCTCAATGAGGTAGTTCACTGGCGAAGTTTGTTCGACAATACGATATGGCCCATCGTACTTTGGCAGAAGTTTGGAAAAGAGCCCAGGTGTGCGATGCGGCACTGACAGCCATACAAGAGAACCCGGAAGAAAAACGGGAGTTGAGGTCTGGGCATCATGAATTGCTTTTTGCCTGTTTTGGTCATCGCAGGTAAAGCGACGAGCTAACTGGCGGCATTCTTCTGCGTGTCTGGCGGCGTCCAAGATCGGTAGGCACTCGGACGCGTCTGGTCGATAGGGAAAAATGGTTTCAATGGTGTGGGAGGGGTGACGGCCGTAGAGGAGGTAAAAAGGGGAGAAGCCTGTTGTCCCTTGCGTTGCCGTAATATAGGCGTATGTAATGAATGGGAGAACTAAGTCCCAGTTAGAGTGGTCAGGCGTCACATACATAGATAGCATATCACCGAGAGTACGATTAAAGCGCTCGGTAGCCCCATTGGTTTGTGGGTGGTAAGCGGTACATGTGCGATGTACAATAGCACACTCAGTGAGCAATTTTTCAATGACCTCGGACAAGAAGGCGCGGCCGCGGTCACTGAGGAGTTCTTGAGGGCCTCCATGACGCAACACAAAATGGTGCAGTAGGAAAGTGGCAACCTGCTGTGCTGTAGTCGTTTTAAGAGCAGCGGTCTCAGCATAGCGCGTTAGGTGGTCGATAGCAACTATTATCCACCTGTTGCCAGTCGGAGTCAATGGAAGTGGCCCATAAATATCTATTCCAACCCGTTCGAAGGGTCGGGAAGGGCATGGTAAAGGCTGCAGTTCACCGGTGGAGGCGCGTGGTGGAGATTTTTGGCGCTGACATTCGGCACAAGAGCGGACGAAGTTGCGGACGAAGGTATACATGCCACGCCAGTAGTAGCGATGTCGAAGCCTTTCGTAGGTCTTGAGGACTCCTGCGTGGCCACATTGTGGGTCAGCGTGAAAAGAGGAACAAATCTGCGACCTCAGGGTTCGTGGAACGACGAGCAGCCACTTGCGTCCCTCTGGTGCGTAGTTACGTCGATAGAGAAGTGTGTCACGTATCGAGAAGTGTGGAACTTGGCGCCGCAGCGTTCGCGTCTTTGGGAGTTCAGAAGTGTCGGAGAGAGGATTGAGGAGAGACGCAGTCCACGGGT